ATGGCCCAACCTGCGCTGTGTGCAGCCATCAACCAATGGCTAAACAGAACATCTGAAACCAGTACCTCACCTTTGATGTGGTTGAACAGCTATCAGTGAATCTGCTGGAGGTACGAAAAGACATGCCTCTTGAATATATGTGCAAAGAACCAACAGCACTCATCTGTCGCTATCAGCCGATGTGTATCTGGGATAAAAAGACCAAACCCGTTTCTAGTGTTAGTCAATATCAACTCTGAGGGCCTCCACTGATCTGTGTCTGAACTGGAGGAGCAAAACATTCAGACGTTGTGATGCCCTCTGTTCAAAAACATGAACTTCGCATTCATTCACTTTCAGAGCACGAATTAGTTTCTTAAATGGGAAATTGTAATCTCTGTTGTTACTTGATGTAGATTATTTGAAGGTTATCTTTACACTAAGATAAAATGACAAAAGCTATGATCAAAGTGTGACACTATATTCTTAAGCTATTAGTCTGTTAGAGTTGGAGAAAAGCTCTTACTCTTACCAGCAATGTTTACCACCTTATTACTCTGCGGGTAAATAAAATAAAATTGACTTCTGCTTGAAAAACACTTGTGCTTGAAATTTCTTTTCAAGCAGTGATAATCAAACAAATATATCAAGATTTCAGTTTGAAAGGGGATAAACTGAAATGCAGGAGTGATGATGGATTGTTTTGTAGAAGCCATTTCTTCACAGTGAGGTTTTAATCAGACACCACATGTAATATTGTACAAATACAATAAATGTATCTACTGTTACTACTTGTTTGGTAAGATTTTCAGATTGAAGTAAGAATAACTATACAAGGTTCATTAACTTTCAAGCAACTGTATTTACATACAGCATGTGACATTTTGACACTTGTTTCACAAAAGGCCGCCTGTTGTTTACAGAAGAATCTGCCCGCAAAGATGTGTATATAGTCATTCGGCGTGTTATAACTTGAGTGAATAATGGTGACTCCCTCACATATTTTCATTATCCTCTAGCTTTTTACGCATTATGTCTCCATATCTGACTCTCTTTACGAACTGATTGTTTGGTCACAGCTATTACTGTCGGTATGGATTAGTCTGTGCAGCCTCTACTTTTTCTATGGAGACATAAGTCAGCATATGGACCGATGACACATTGCTCTTATGTTCTCTATGCAGGCACTTAGCCATAGACCTAAACCTCCAAGATGTGCTCACATACACATATATTCACCTATTTTTATAGCTGGAGAGAAAAAGATCAGGAATGATCACAAACTGTAGCTTAGGAAATGATCAGAGCTGAGTTCTGTCTGCAGTCAGGAAAAGTCATGACGGTGCGGCTGATCAAAACATACATGGATAAGAACATATCTGTGGGAATGAATAGTAGGTCTGACATAAGTAAAGGTCAGAAGAAAGTAAAATAGAAAAGAATGACTAAATGCAGTGTTTTGCATTGACATTTTTTAGGCAGGTTTGTTCATTGATCAGAACATGCACACAAAGACTTATATGGCTCACACAATGTGTAAATTAAAAGAGCACTATATTCAAGGTGATGAGGTCATGCATGCTATGTCAAGCATTCATCTTGATTGACACCATGTCAAATAATAGCTACCTTTTAAATCACATGACAAGAAAAGATTCAATACAATGCGTAGAGGTTGTGCAGAAACATAGAATTCTTCATGTTATATCACAAAAATGGATACATTTTCCTATTATGACAGCTATCCATTGACTTGGCGGGATCATGTAGTTTGTTTAAGGCTGATATACATTGGTTTTATCAAAACAAGGCATTTATGTTAGTCCGTCACTCTAACTGCTGCAATTGAATTAGCCTCTCGAAATTCTGCTGTGTCTAACGTTTGAAATTCTTTCATCTTTGACATTGTATTTTACATCTCACAGAGAAGCCGTCTTCTGCCCTCTACTTCCTTCCAGCATTCTCTGTCTCTTTCAACCTTAGCATCCATCATCGAACTTACCTCCTTTACATCACATCACATCACATAACATCGACTCCCACAATGTGCGAATGCCCTTGTATATTTATGGCAGATTGGTGCCATAATGACTTGACATTTGATAATTGTACAGTACGGAAAGATGGAAAACAATCAAGATACATGTGTATATCTATATGTATGTATACCACTCTCTCTCTCTTTCTCTCTCTCTCTCTCTCTCTCTCTCTCTGTCTTTATATATATATATATATATATATATATATATTTATTTATTTATTTATTTCCCATATATTTCTTCTGCTCACAGGGTAGATTAAAAATACACGGACTCATCAACAGCGTTCCCATTAAAGCACCCAGGAGAAATCACTTGCCATTGCAATGTGTGGCCACAGAACCCCTTGCCCTTTAGCTTCAATCCTCCTCGTCACAGGAGAGGCCCTCTGAGACCGGGGGAACAGGTGTGAGAAGGACTCACCATCCAACCCTAGAGACCCAGCCTGACTTGATCTATGCTGACCTTATTTGCATAAATGTACTGAGCTGTGTTGAAGGCAGAGGCCACGTCACGCAAGTGACTTGTACTATGTTAAGAGGCTGACATGTACAACTCCAAATGTAACAGCCAATTTGTTCTATTCATTTGGTGGATTAATGGTTTTAAGTAAGCTTGTAATACGAGCATTTAAAGGTAAAATAAGAAAGAATATTGACCTGAAATGGGCTAAATATGATGTGAGTATATAAAGAACAAATACAACATAAATAGATAATATGAAAGAATGGGTATGAAGAGCACTGACACTTATGAACTTATAGCGTACCATCTTAACATATAGAGCATGTGAAGAAACATTAACACATTTTAATTAAGCAGCTAAGCTTTTCCAAAATGGCCTGCATGCATAGGCATTACTTGTTTACGGCTTCCTTCAATGCAACACTGCTATCTTCTGTCCTTAAAAATAACTGCAAGACTGCAGCAGCTTGATCCAGGGTGAACAAGTGGCATTTTGATTCTCTTTTTGCTTATATCTCATGATAACATGCTAAGTGATCTGGATTACAATAATCTCTTCCCTACGTCTTGTGTTTTAGTAGGTGAGTATATGCTATCTTTTAAGTCTACATAAAGCCAACCCCCCTCATGTACACGACAAAAATTTTTAGAGTTTTGCTGCTTGATTCAGCCCACTGTTCTGCTGTTCTATTACTGGTAATTTCTTATCTTTACTTCCTTCTTTTATTTTGTTTTTTTTGTGTTACGGGTTTCCTTAATCATTTTCTATTTTCTTGCCTCAGTCACTGGTACATATACACATGCACACAAACCCTCAGTCTCTTTATTAATTCATTTATTTCTCTTGCCTTTCTCTTTTATACCTCCCTCATTGCAACACTGCCTCTCATATACCCTATGTCCCTCCCAGCTTCTATATTTCCCTGGCTCAGTGTGTATAGTCAATCCTCCCTTGGTATCTCCCTCCACCCTCTTCTGCCTCTGTCTGACGTCATGGTAACCGCAGTGTAAGACTTAGGTCTTGCTACGGTGCAAATGATTCTGTTAAAAAGAGGAAAAAAATGCCTCACACAGCCAGGCGAATGAGCATTAACAGACTTGGAGTGAGGGTAAAGACTTGGCAAAATGTGTCTGAGCCACACCCACATTGCTCTGACAGTGAATGAACTGTTTTGTCCATTGGCCCCACGCCGTGGGCAAGGTCGATAGCTTCAGCATTTTTAATCATATGAGTCACTCTGGCATAGTGCAGCAGACTGAGCATGGAAGCTTTGCAAAAAGATCAGAAAGAGTCAGATCATACCGACGTGTCAGCAAACAGAAGGCAAAAGAGGGAGAAATGAAAATATACACAAATTCATATTTGAGAGACAAATTAAATGAATAATAATGAACTATAAAAGTTCTCTCCACCTGCACATATCTGAAACAGAGCAGGCATAACTCAGCAGATGAAGACATCTAGACTGCAGTATTGCTGGAAACACAACAATAGACTGTTGTGTTTATGCGTGTGAAAGACACTATGTGTTAAGCATATTAAAATAACTGTTAAATCTTCCCTCAGAAGGCCAGGCAACATGTTTTTCAAATGCACAACAAGAAATGAAAATGCACAATGCATTATTTTCAGAACTAGTATCTCAGCAGTGCCTTCTTACACACAGTATATTCCTAAGAGATAATTAGTAAATGATCTAGATCCAAATAACTATTTAGCTGCCCTTTACTAAGTGGCTTTGACATTGTTATCTTGCTCTTTGCTATTGATATCTTATTAGCTACAGTAATCTATTGCTGCATGATAGTGGACATGGAAAGGAAGACGTTCTTTACAATCTTCGTTAAACTGGTGGATGTATGTATGGAAATTGGGTTTTGGGGAAAATAATTCATGGTAAATCTTTGTGTAAAAACAGACCCAACAACCACACCTGTTTCTCTGTTGTAAATCGATGTTCATCATAGCTAATTTTCCCAAGAGCGAGCAAGGAAATGTTGAAATTTGACAAAAACTTTGGGTTTTACCAAATATTTCATTATAGAACTGTTACAGCTTTGTTCCTGCTTTGTTCTGTCACTCATGAATTAATTTACCAAAGTGAAAGAAAGTGTAATCAAAACCACATCCTGAAAGAAAAATTCTAACAATCTACAAAACAAATTGTTAGACCGTAAGCTAAAGTAAAAACAGAAAAAGAAAAACAATGGCAGATATTATCTTAATTTTATTCTGCCTTTTCGTCCCAATTCATTCCAGCAATTAAAAGCTGGAGAATGTAAAGAATGTCAAAATATAATTGAATATATTAATTTATTTAAATATCGATGCAGGGTCAGACTCGTTTAAGAATTTACCCAGCAAAGTGTAACTTCGGTGAATCGTGATTCCCTTGTTGCTATGAATGAGGCTTGAAACAAAAAACGAATGAATGGAAAAAGCTAAACAGAGAGTGCCTGCGTCACATATTCCTTGCGGAAGGATCTATTCTGCTAAGCAGTGTAGTTCCGGGTTCTGGATCTACTTCTCACCGTGGAAAAAGGAATGGGGAAAACCTTAACGTGCGAATGAATACACCGGAGTTACACGTCGCCTTTAGCAGGTGCACAACGTAGGGAAATTACTAATACCAGGAGTGATGGCATAACATATGGTGTTTACGATTCTATCGATAAACGCCACCACAAACGAGACCTTTGTGCTTTCACTTGAATAATGTCACGGTAAGTAACTTGGACACGATTTAGTGCAACTGTTAGCTGAAAGCTAAATGTCGCACGTATGGCTAACAGCTGACAGCAAAGAATACACAAAAATGCTAGTTTGAGATGTTTTAGAGCTTGAGGCAATGCAAGGTATGACTTGCCTTTCGTTTTGTTTAGCTTTATTTATTTAAAACATATGTTTTAAATAATTTGCCTAAACGGCACTGGAAAATTCAGTGATGTCTTGTTGTGTGTCATTTGACGTCAGCTGTAGCTTGACGTAACATTAATGTGGAAAAGCGAGGATGCACCTGTTGTGTGTGTGTGTGTGTATATATATCTATCTATATAGATATAAATAAAGATATATAGATATGTGTATATATACATATAAGATTCTCTGTAGTGGATTTACGGAGGTTTGCAATTCTTTCAACATTTCCTTGAGCTTGACGAGACAAGGGAGGGAGGTGACGTGTGGTTTGTGTGTGTGCGCGCGTGTGTGACAGAGAGAGAAATGAGTCACCAATGTTATGGTTTCTGTTTGTAAATAGTAAAGGATTTTTTTGAGGCAATGGAAGGGTATTTGTGCTTTGAATAAGCTTTCACCACATCAATAAGCCCACTACTTCTGTGGGTAAAAGGGAAGCGTCTCTGTCCTAACTGTGGAGCAGGATGTTCATGCTATTGGTGCAACAGGGTGTTGACCACTATGCGCAAACATAGGCTCTGCCACACCTCTAAAGTGGAAAGATGTTCATGTGTTTATCTTGATCTTGGTGTTGCTTTAAAAAAACAAAACTCTTGAACTGAAAGGGAAGTAAAGATTTGTGTCTACTGTAGTTAATGTCTTTGTCTCACTCTCTGTCTCACTCTCTTTCCGTCTCTCTCTCTCTCTCTCTCTCTTTCTCTCTCTCTGGTGATGTTGGCCACAAGGGTGAAATTAACCATTTATAACCACTTCAGTTTCCACCTGAGTCAAAGAATGATTTTGCTACAGTCTCAAACAATTTTATGAGAGGTGGTTCTACCAAAGAAGATGATTATTATGCGTAACTAAGTAAGCCCTGTTTCTGCTGTTTTTCAAAGGGCATGTCAACATTTACTACCTTAGTTTCTCAGAATGTCTCACTCTGCAGCAGGGAAAATATCCTGATCTAACTCTAGGATGAAATTTGATAAAGAAAGCCTGAAATCGAATGTTTTGTTTCATGTCAAACTGAGGACTTCACACTTTGTCAACATCTGTGAGAGTTTTCTAGGAGGCTCTTGTGGTGTTTTTTTTTTTTTTGGCTTGTGATTTAACTGTCAATATTTTTGAAAGGAAGTTACCTTTAAATCCCAGCACTCCCCTGAGCTACACACAGAGCTTCCCTGAAAGCTCTTGACCATCCCTCTGACCTCAAATTGATTTCTCATCTCTCCTAAGTCCTAAATCCCCCTTGAAATGCTGCAAGCCTGCTGCTAGAATTAATCATTTTTGGCAGGGTGCTTGCATGGTGGCGAGCCTCTTTACCCAGTGACACTTGTACTGCTTCTATGCCTAATTACATTTGCTGCAAGCGCATACATTTCAAAAGGTTTCTTCCCACAAAGATGCTGTTTATTCTACTTCATGGGACACACACCCACTTTATTCAGTTGTTGGCATGTATGCTATGGGGAGGCCTTTACTGTGAAGTTTTTGGCAATATTTGCTTTTATGTTTTACTGTTTTTATTATTCAAGGCGGCAAATTCTAATAATGTATATAAAGCAATAAATGGCCAAAAAAGAGATTACTTTTTTGTCCTCTCAGATAATGTGGAGAAGACTGTGCCTCTCTGAAAATGTAGCCTGTTCACAAACGAAGTTAAAGTTGATCATTTGATCATTTTGTCTCTGGTAATGAAAGCAGTTTTATGTTCATGAAAAGAGACAAAGACATCCTCTGTGCTCTGGCCTGTTTTTTTTTTTTTTGTGTTCTCTCACTTAAAATAATAATCTGCAACTCTGAATCTGCTCTGTGACACTTGAAGAAAGAGCCCATCCTGCTCCCTGATCGTTGAATGTGATGCTGGGTACTGGATTATCTTCACTGAGGAGGTACTGGCATATCTTTTAAGAATAGTGTTTAGAGGAAGAAAGAGATCACTCTTGAAACTTGATTCAGAGACATTGTGACTTGTTTGAAAAGATTGGTCTCTCGGTACTGATTAACTGTGGTGATTTGATTGCAGTTCTACACACTCTTTTATTGTTTGCAACGGGCTGTCCTCTCTTTCACCCACAAGCACCTGGAAAGTGTTTCGACTCACATTTTTGAATTATCCAAAAATGGAACTTGCTTTTGCTCTTTTCTGTGTCTTTCTACAGAGTTGCAAACAGCTGACGTGCTTTCTTCAGACTGACTGCAGTTTCTCTGTTTTGAAGTCAATTACTGAGTCAACAAAATGTCTGGTAATGATTTCAAGTTCTCAATTTTTAACCTGAATGAGAAATGTGAAAGTTTGTCTAAGTTAAATGAAACATTTTGGCTTCTTTTTCTTTGTTTGCTTCTCGTAAGAAGTTGCTTTTTCTTTTTTCCTCCCATGTTAGGTACATATGCCCCAGCTCCTGGGGGACCATTTTCTGCTCTCACACCAAGCATGTGGCCTCAGGACATTTTAGCCAAATACCATCAGGTAAGTAAAAACAAAATGTACAGCTTAACAAAATAGGTACTGTACTAGAGGAAATATTCAAATCTCTGTGGTTAAATATACATAAAAAATAAAAACCAGGGGGGAAGAACTGACCAACATTCACCCTGAATTTCACACAAAATGTAGGCATTTGCATTTGTATAGTCATCATTTAAAAAAAAATATTATTAGATGTTAAGAGCACATAGAAACCTCTCCCAATTCTTGTGACAGTCTCTAACGTTGGTCGTACGTGCAGGTAATGCTCATAGGTGGCTTGTGTAGTGGCTGTTTTTGGCAGATGTTTAGTCTCTGAGCTGTAGTCATGTCCTGGAGCATATTTTGCCTTCTTTGTCATGTTTGCTAATGAAATTTGTTTGTCTTATTTCTTAACAGAAAGATCCTGCTGAACAGCTTGAAATACAGTTTGATGAGTTTGGCTTCAGAGTAGATACTGAGGGTAAATTTTTGCTCAATAAACCCCCTCCCCTTTTGTCTGCAAGAAAGAAATCTCTGTATCCGGGGATAATGAGTATATTATGTGCAAAAATGTAGACCATGTGATATAATTTGCAGTTGTTTTTTTTTGTTGCTTTTTTTTCCTCTAATGAATGAAAATATCTTTTGTGCCCCTTTTTGGAGCACTTTTGTGTTACCAGTATATCTGTAAAGCTCTGAAATCCTTACTTTGCTTGAATTAGAATATTTCTTTAAGTGCTTTTAACTGTCTTAAAACATTCTTCATTTACATCACATGTCTCTGACATGCTTGTTTACACCACAGTTGCTGCATTTTACCTTTTTTTCTGGTTTCCATCACCAATTAATGAAAGAGAACATTTTGCTGTTAAAGACAAAGCTTAATGAGGACATATGACTTCTTTGCCTCTCAGATGGAGTCGAGCCCAAGTCCTGGCTGGGCACTGAGGGCTCCCCCCAGCGTGAAGACCCTCAGCAGCGACTGCGCTGGCAAGCCCACCTGGAATTCACCCACAATCATGCAGTAGGTGACCTGACTTGGGATCTCATCGATCCTGTCCTTCCACGCTCAGAGCGTCTTCGATCCTTGGTGCTTGGTGGCATACCTCACAGCATGAGGCCACAGGTCAGTGGGCAACCACAGAAAGGATTTTACCATGACCTGAGATGGGACAGTAAAGAACAGCCTAATATGAAAGATATTCTTAGATTTCAACGAGAAGGAAATCTTTTCCTTTCTATGGCCAAAAATGTGCTTTAAAAATGTTTCAGCTATGGATGCGTTTGTCTGGAGCACTGCAAAAGAAGAGGACCTCAGAAATCTCCTACAAAGAAATAGTCAAGAACGGCTCTAATGAGGAAACTACAACATCTAAACAGGTAAACTGTCAGCATCTTCAGACTGAAGAGTGTAGCCTAACGAGATAGCAAGACTAGTAACATGTTTGAGATCATTTAGATAATGGATCGAGCACTGCTACTGAGTTATAAATAACTATACCATTAGGCCTAAGATTCTGACACAATTAAAGTAATGATTTAACGGACCATTTGCAACTTTGGCCCTTCAGATAGAGAAGGACCTGTTACGGACAATGCCGACCAATGCCTGTTTTAGTAGTTTGTCCAGTGTTGGAGTGCCAAGACTGAGACGGGTTCTGAGGGGCCTGGCCTGGCTCTACCCAGACATTGGGTACTGTCAGGGCACCGGCATGGTGAGAACACACTAGTTTGTTGATTCAGCACACAATGCTAAACATTTTTTTATCTGCACACTTTTCATTCTCTTAAATATGTTACATGACCTGTGTTTTTTTTTTACAGAACAACTCGTTTTCATTTTCAATGTGTTAATTGCTTTTTGATTTGTTTGGTTTTCCTACATTATCTTTGTCATTTCAGGTAATTTCCTGCTTGCTGCTCTTTTTTGAGGAGGAGGATGCACTTTGGATGATGTGTGCCCTAATCGAAGACCTCCTTCCACCATCCTATTTTTCCTCCACTTTGTTGGGGGTCCAAACAGACCAGAGAGTTCTGCGCCAGCTTATTGTTCAGTATCTGCCAGCTCTTGATCGCCTTCTCCAGGAGCATGACATAGGTAATAATAAAGGTTTGGTGCATAGTATCAAGGGTATTTGATATCAATTTTAGTTGAATCTTTTTACTTAAATGTTGTTTTGTTAAATGTATGTTAAAATACAATACAATAAGACCTTCCTCCTCATGTATGCAGAGTTGTCGCTAATTACTCTGCACTGGTTCCTGACGTCATTTGCCAGTGTGGTGGACATCCGTTTGCTCCTGAGAATCTGGGATCTGCTCTTCTATCAAGGCTCATTGGTGCTTTTCCAGATCACACTGGGCATGCTCAAGATAAAGGTAGTAGCACCTCCACAGTTTTATAACTCTTGACAGGCAGGAAAAGTTGCTTTCAGTTAAGGATGAGCAATGTAATGCCATTCATGCCAAAAAGATACTGTAGATTACCTGAGGTGGGGACATTTCTAAACAAACCTTTCCCAGAAATTCAAATATTAGGCTTTTTTATGATTTGCCTCTGAGTGGCGGGCAGTTATAAAGGCAACAATGAGTTCTATGTGAGCTCTATGTGAAAATGAGCTCTGTGATCAGTTTGCTCCTGAGAAGTGTTTACACACACCAATGTTGGGAGTATGCCACCTGTGTCCAGAATGTTTGAGTTTCAGGTTTAAGATGATAACCTCTCTGCTGATAAGCTATTTATTTTGATACCTCTAGGAGGAGGAGCTTGTGTCATCAGAGAACTCTGCCTCCATCTTCAACACTCTGTCCGACTTGCCAAGTCAGCTGAGAGATGGGCCGACAGTTCTTGGGGAGGCAATGAGGTTAGCAGGGACATTATCTCAGGAAACTCTGGAAGCTCACCGACACAAGCATCTGGCCTACATCTTGAATGAACAGGCACAGCTGAGCAATGGAAGCAACACAACACTCAACACAAGTTTAAACAAGGTTAGTAATCTTGATCCTTCATAGTCTAAACAAAAGTTCATGTCTGAGCTTTGTCAAATAGATTCCTATGCTATAGAAAGAAGTGTCTGTGTGTGGTTAATCCTCAAACTGAAAGGGTGAAAAGGTTAAGAACTTTTTTTTGTATGTATTCAGGTGATGAGGAGACAGTCCCTGCGCAGGAAATCCACTCTGACCTCTCTGCTGTTTGGGGAAGATGAGGCAGATGCCCTGAAATCCAAAAACATCAAACAAACAGAGTTGGTAGCTGCTCTACGAGAGGCTATATCCCGCACTGCTGAGCACTTCCACTGTCTGGACCCACATCACTCCAGCACTGTGAGTCCAAAGTTGCAGCACAGAACATTGTTTTGGGTCCTGTTGTGAAACTTGAATCCATCACTTGAGTATGACATCAGAAAGTCTCACTTGTGCTGAACTACGTTGACCTCTCCAGGACCTGACTCCAGACTACTCCATGGAAAGCCACCAGCGAGATCATGAAAACTTCCTTGTCGTGTCCCGTAACCGACGGAGACGGGCTAAAGCATTGTTGGACTTTGAGCGTCATGATGATGATGAGCTTGGCTTTAGAAAGAATGACATCATCACTGTGAGTCACGACTTGCAATGCGACCAACACAAGAAAAACTCTTCTTTTAATTGCTTCTATTTTTGTACACGCAGCATGTTAGAAAGAATCTGACTCATGTTCTGGAATATTTCTCTGGCAGATTGTCTCACAGAAGGATGAGCACTGTTGGGTTGGTGAGCTCAATGGCCTCAGAGGTGTGTGCTTTGTGTTTGTAATTGTATCTAAATTAATGTTGGCATGTGTGTAATGTTCTGTCCCTCTATGCGTCAGGTTGGTTTCCTGCAAAGTTTGTTGAGATTCTAGATGAAAGAAGCAAAGAGGTATAGATAGATGCATTTATATATTTAACTCAACAACAGTTGTTTCTGAACACTACCGCTCACTTCTTGGGTTTGTCTCCAGTACTCTCTAGCAGGTGATGACTCTGTGACTGAGGCAGTCACAGACTTGGTGAGGGGCACTTTGTGTCCAGCTCTGAAAGCTATCTTTCAACACGGCCTTAAGAAGCCATCCATACTGGGAGGGCCCTGCCACCCATGGTTATTCATCGAAGAGGTAGCTTTTATTTTCTCCAGTTTAGATTTAAATTGCTTTGTGTCAAAGTATTTGGCATTAAAACCATGGCCTTATTCCTCTCTCAGGCTGCCAGCAGGGAAGTGGAAAGGGACTTCAACTCAGTCTACTCCAGACTTGTGCTGTGTAAAACCTACAGGTAAAAAATGTGCTGGCCTTTATGTTAACTTTTCACAAATAAATAATTTATTTCAATTTGAATTCCAGTTCTCTAGCAGTCTAGTAGCTGAGGTCTCTATCTTTGGTTTTCACCAGGTTAGATGAAGATGGGAAAGTATTGACCCCAGAAGAGCTGCTATACAGAGTGAGTAAACGGTACAGGATTGACAGAAATGTTATGGTACAACAGTGGGTTGAAAACGGAATTTGAAATGTTTTTATTCAGTTTTTGAATATCTGAGGCTTTGATGACACCTATGCTGGTGAGAATTAAAAGCAAGTGAATGAGTGCCCTCTGTCTGCTGTTTCAGGCAGTGCAGTCAGTCAACATGAGCCATGACCCGGCGCATGTTCAGATGGATGTAAAGTTCAGGTCTCTGGTCTGCGTTGGCCTTAAGTGAGTTCTCAGTGCATACAAACACACTCAACTATATAACCAATTTCAATTCAGCCTTGTGAGATATTTGGTTCTAATACCTGTCACACCAGTGAGCAGGTGCTGCACCTATGGTTGGAGGTGTTGTGCTCCAGCATGCCTGCTGTAGAGAAATGGTATCAGCCGTGGTCATTCCTTCGCAGTCCGGGATGGGTCCAGATTAAGTGTGAGCTTCGGTAAGAAACACAGATCCCAAACCAGTTATGGGAATTCTGGTCAGGCAATGTTCTAAATACTGTATAATTTCCGTCTTTATATGAGAAGCAGTTCTATTCAATAATGGATGAATAAATGTCAGAGTAGATCTATGATTAAATAAAAATTAATTCAATAATATAAGATATTAAATGAGTTTCCTCCAAAATGGTCCTGTCTGCTGGCTGACTCATTGTATTATAATGCTGGAAATTGAATTCCATCCATCTTCTATTAACCACAAATCTTTTTTATTTTTTATATCAGTTATGTAAAAAGAGATTTGAGGACAAATCTAAACTATAAACAGGGTTTGTTGTTGATAATCTGACCCGATTTGTAAACACAAATAAAGAGCAGTTGTGTTATGTCCTCAGGGTCCTGTCGAAGTTTGCCTTCAGTCTCTCCCAAGACTGTGAGCTACCTGACAAGAAAGAGGTAAGCCAATAGAATATTCACTGCACACCAACACCGAGCAGTAGGATACATGCCTTATTTTTTACAATTACCACGATAGAATTCAGTGGAGCTGACTTTCTGCTGTTTTTCTTTGGTAGGGGTCTCTTGTTAACCTGTCATGTATGAGCCTGAATGTCATAATACTGTCCCTGGACAACTTGACATACCTGTTGACAGCACATTTATTACACCACTGAAAAATGTTGCTTTCCATATGACTTTACTCTTAATACAGAATCACCTTTGTTCCTACTTGCAAAGAGTCTCATGTTGACCTTTCACATTTATTTTGTTTCTAGGAGAAGGAGCAGAAGCCACTGAAAGAGGGCGTGCAGGATATGTTGGTGAAACATCACCTCTTCAGCTGGGACATTGATGGCTGAACACACAGCGGAAATGGTTGAAAGTTACCCTTGTCTAGGTATCAATGTATATTTCAGGTCACTGTAGCTGTCTCAACAGCAAATCATTACACTAACTTCTGCCAAATGAGGTGGCAACTCCAGAACCCACCCCCTATTTGTGTTGAGCACTGGAAATAACCCAAATAATGACTGAAACTGTCATACAGTGCAACTGATTTATACAGGATGTGGTGACGCATGAGGACACTTTGGTTGCGTAGTTTGTTTTTGTTTTTTCACAAGTGAAACACTCATGTGGTATAGAATAGTCTGTACTACAGTGTCCCAAGATGAAGCTTTTCTTCTGTACTCACTACTTTGTCCTTTCAGTTTGTCTTAGTGCATGATGTGAACATGGTCTTTAGTTCATACACATTTAGATGTGATGACCACAAGAAACAGTGTTTTACCATATTCCTAAAAGCCCCCAAACTCTAGAAGATCCTACATTTTAAGACCAAAATGGAGCATTCCTAAACAGAGCTGTAAAGATATGAACTATTTTTGAGAGGAATACAGCTTTCCTCAATATCTCACAATCTACAGAATATTTCACGTTGAGCTACTCTAATGTTGCACTTGCCAACTTAAGCCTTCTCAGATTGTGATTCAAAACCGTGTGCTACCTGAACAGTGGTAGCCAGTATGCACTTGTATGATATAATGTACACAAAGAAGATACTTTTTGTGTTACATAAAAGTATATACATATATACCTGATCTATGCTTTTTTTTTTTGTAAATGAATAAAGTGGTCGTTAGTAACTAAATGTACATTTGCAAGTTAAATGAATACTTTGAGAATTATTTGATACATTTCAAAACAATTTTTTAAAATGGCACATGCACACAAAAAAGCGTAACTAATATTTGGTGATGTATTAAGATTCTAGAACATTAACTGTTGACTCAAAAACTTAACAGATTAAAAACCTGATGCAGGCTGACACCTAGCAGCAGTTGTTTCCCCTTCCTAGCTAGATTTTAGATTTCTATACAAATGAAAATTTGTAGATATAAGTGCTTGTCTTTGTATAAAAAAATAACACAATGTGTTGAAGTCAATTTCAGACCAATATCTACCCAAAGAAGACAAAGCAGTCATCTCTATGCACCTGTAACGGGTGTACCAAAAATGGACCTGGAATATATTGAAGGAAAAGAATAGATAGACCTATCCTTCTTGTTCAATTAATCTAAGCTGGAAAACTGTTAAAATCTTTCACAAGTACAAACTGTAGAAGCGTCTCGGGTAAAAAAATAAATAAAAAAAAAGAGAAAAATTTATTTAAAAAGTAGAGTAAACGGTGTTTATTTATGGTCCTATTTTCGCAGCAGTGGTGTTAAAATGATTTAACAGCAACAGGCCATAACACATGGCGTACTAGAGTAACAAGTACCGCATTACCATCATAAGCAACCGCTTAGGTGACAAACTATGTGCTGTATTTATATGAACACTATTGAGTCAAAGGTTCGTATAGACCGACAATGGAAGCATGACAGATACTGGTGTCTAAGAGAGCAAATGGGTCAGTGTGAAAAGATTCCAACCATCCACAATAAAATGTCCTGCTAGTATGCCAAATAAATATTATAAAATGCCCCATCATAAACTTTCCCATATATCTAGAATTCAAAATTGTTTTGTGCCCTCTGCTACATTCATCTTTGATTTGCATACATTTTGTACAATGCCACCTTTCTCATCAACACAACAGCTAATTTCCATATGCAGTATAAATAGTACAATAGTTGTATCATTTCAAATACATGGGGAATGCATGAGGAGGTTTAACTCATAGCTGCTCAGGTTGGTACCAGACCCTTGTTGTTATAGAAGCCTCACTTTTTCCTACCAGAGGACTGGATTCACTGGTATGTATAGAATTAAATAAACCCTCATGTTGTACCAGGCTTGCCGCCCCCCCCCACCCACCTCGTAAAAGACAATGTTTTACCAAAACCAAAACTGTTCCAATATTAAAGGCAGCTGACAATAAAATGCATATGCGTTTTAGATCGAGGTGACCCTCTTTAACAAAACAAAAAAACTGAAGACTTGGTGTAGAAAGGCAAGGAGTAAGATTATCTCGGTCCAAACATCGCTCTCCTGTGGTTTGTGGAATGACACTTGGTGGAATGACAGAGTGGGAGGTCTGCAAGGCGAAGACAGCCGTTCAGCAGTTCCCTGTCCCCGACGAGGAGGGGGCTGCTGTGGAGTTGGAGCTGATGTTCTGGCCCTTTCCTTTGTGTCTCTGGCCACCCCTTCTCCGTCCACCACCTCCAGACTTTGGCTACCAAAAAGAAAAAAAGGTACTGTCACAAACTTGTGTGCATTTGAATCTTTAAAAAGAAATAAGTGTTTATCAGATGCCCTGATATTTACTAAAAGTTAATAATTGCCATTTGACTGGACCCTCTGGTTTGGTTTCCCCTCTACTGTCCTGGTCATAATCTCAACAGCATGCTTTACCTTGTTCTCTTTGTTGCCCTCCTTTATTTGAGGGTCATCATCTCCCTCTCCCTTTGGAGGACAGCCACGCAAGCAAAGAGGAGGGAAAGAGTGGTGTGGCAGGGTTTGAAAATTGAGTGAAACAAGACGACAGAATGCGTGGGTTTGGATAAGGTGATGTGTTAGGACAAAAGAGAGAGCGTAGAAGTTAGGAAGATGGAATAGAGAGGCAACCATTCAGAGCACAGAAACTGATCCACATGGACACAGGAGAGGCCGTTCCTGATGGCTAAAAAGTGTTTAAAGGCGGTGGCCTGTTGCACTTCTCATCCACTCACCCCCTGTGACGTGGCAGAGCCTGCTGACTGTGCTATCGTTGCTGCGTCCTCGCCGGTGGCCACCGAGCCGTCCTCTTTTCGGAGCGGCATCTTTTTTGTGGACTGCATTTTGATTTGCGGGGGTTTGGAGTTTGACGGCATGTTGTTGGTGGATTGCAACAGCTGCAAAGGAGCGCAATTCAAAACGTGATCCTCAAAGGACTATTTGTCATAGTTACATTCCAGAATGTGTGTACACAGAGTCAGCAAAGTTTTTAACTTTTCTAAAACAGGGAATCACAAGAACAGGCTTTAGTCCAGAAATGCCCATTTTTGTAATAAGACCTTTGATCTTAAAGAACCATAACTCTTTTTTTCACCTTAGTAATGGTTCCCACAGCCTTGGTGCGCCCCTCCCTGAACACCAGCCTCTGGTCACAGTGCAGATATTCGGGGGTTTTGATGAAGCGGAAGTGGACCGAGGCCTTGTCCCCTGTTCGTAAGCAGTCTCTGTTCATGGACAAGATGGTGGCTGTCTGCCTTATACTCCCACAATGGACTGGTGGTTGCATGAGGGAGGTGATCGGACAGCAGGTGGAGAAAGAATCATCAAACACTGCCCCTCAAACAGTAAGCAATACGACATAAACATTCAGCTGCTGACACATGTGCTACCCACCCATGGCCTGGTATCTGGGGGATATCGTAGTGGGGTGGTGCAGGACCAGGATCTCGGCCTCAAACTCCCAGGTGGCCTGAGGGTTTAGCCTCGGAGACACCATCACCATACCTTTCCTTATGGAGGAGCGCTTGATCTTTAAAGACAGGAGTGAAGTAGCAGGAGAAAGAATAAGAAGACAAAAGACATTTTTGTGCAATAGATCTCTTTTTTCCCCCCAAAGACAACGATGGGGGGAAAAAAAGACCACACGCCAGGAAATGCTGTGAGGTGGTTTTCCATTCCTACCTTTTTAAGAGCAAAGGAGGCAGTCTGCCCACCTCTGACCTCCTTCACAGGCATTCTCTTGCGGTGGATTGATTTAACGGCGATGGGGATGAAGCTGCCCAGAGGATCCGGTCCCAGCAGCATGGTATCATTGAGGCGTATGAGCCCGCGTAAAGTAGTCCCTGACACCACAGTCCCCACTCCCTGACACATTATGGGAACATCGGCATGTGTTTAGAGAGCATTTTGTGGGTGTGACTTGTATTGGATTTTACATGGTCAAATGAATGTTTTACCGGGACAGAGTAAGTATCATCTATCTGGAATTCAGCAGGCTGATCGTCCCTGTAGGACGTCCTGGAGGAGAGCAGGTTGAGGAACATCTTAAGCAGGTCCATGTTCTCTCCACTCACATTGGATATCTGGAAGATGGGGCACATCCTGGGGGGGACACAACGCACTTATCACGATAAAAATGAAAAAAACAAACAAACTCCGCTCTAGCTTTGCATGTGGCCGGGGCGGACGGCGCACCTCTCAGAACTGAAGTTTGACGCTGCGACTATGACGTCGTCTTTGTTCTGCACCAGGACCGGAATCTTTCTACAGCCCGGGGACTTCAGCAACCTCTGGAGCAGCTTCAAGGTTTCTGTTGGACACAGGCCGAAGGGATGAGCCCTCTCAGACTTTGTCAGGTACGTGTGCCTCACACAAAGTTTCCGCACTGACCTTGCAGAATGTTGGCTGGACACATGTCTATCTTGGTTACGACCACAAACACGGGTACATTAAGAGCCAACGCCAGACCCAGGTGCTCTTTGGTCATCCCCACGATGCCAGCATTACTCCCCACCTGGAAAAGTAGGAATACAAACAAAAAGTCAGATTTTCTCTCTACATTCTGAGCAACAAAGCCTCCTTCCATACGTGGATCAGTTGGACAAAAAAAGAAAAAAATATACACAGAGGCCATCTCCTTCCCCCTCCCTATTTCTGACCATGAGCATGCAGAAGTCTGGAAGGTGTCCGGTCATCCCAAAAACAGTGGTCTTGAGGTATTTCTCATGTCCCGCCAGATCTATGAAGGTAATGACTTTGGAGGACTTCTCACAGATTTTGGTCCAGTCCAGGCTCCCTCCATGACTGTCCGGTTTGTTCACCACCTGGGCACGGACATCAGGCTTTCTATTAACTGTTTGTAGATGAGGGATGAATATTTGTTTAAACATTCTGTCACAGCATATGCGCAAATGTGTAACTATTCACTGGTAATGAACACAATTACACTTCACACCAGTCTTCATATTCTTAATGTCCATTACATCCTTAATTAACTTGCCTTTTTTCTAAATCCTTCTTGTTGCAAACGACTGTCTGTTTGTTAGCTCCAATAGGGCCATACTGACTTCACTTTTCCAGCCGTGCAATAAACTAATCACAAGAGCCAACATTACACAAACATTTTCCAAGACAGAGTAGCGATTCTGCTACGAGCGTGGCGACGAGCGGACCCCTCCTCTCTGCCGTCTGCTGACTACCCCTCACCTGCCCCTCCTGGTCAAACCCCAGGATGTCGTTGCCCACACTGCTGGTCCTGCCACTCTCCATCTCATGCTTGTGCCTGAAAAGTTTCTGGCGGGCAAAGCCCCTGCCATTGTCCAGCTCACCGTGCGTCAACACTCCCAGCAGGGTACTTTTACCAGCATCCACATTCCCCACCACCGCAACCCTGAGAGACACAAGAGGGCCAAAATATCATTCGGACAGCACTACCAGGGGGCGGTTAGTCACTACAAAGGAGAAAAAGAAAAGGTCCTGACGATTAAACTCAAACAACACGGACAGCTGACCTCGGAAGGCACTTTTTAAACCTGGTGGAAACTTTGGTGTTTGGTTATAAGGGTACTAACCTGACCTCCAGGAAGTCCAGCTCACCCACACACCTCCGGATCAGGTAGTCCCGCACCAGGCCGGCGGCCTCACTGCGGTCTCGTAGATGGATGAGGTCGGCGTCCAGCTGCTCACAGAGCGAGCGCACCGTGGCCACCGAGGCCTCCATGTCCCTCTCGTCCAGCCCCCAGTCGCCGCCATCTGCCGAGAAAAAAGACCCGTGATGCACCTGCGGCTGGACCCTGACCGGCGAGGGGGAGCCTTCTCTCTCCTACCAGAGCCCATCCCGATCACGTAGATGGTCTCTCCACAGCCCTCCTCCATCCTGTCCCGGAGCTGCCGCAGTAACGAGTCGTACTGCTCTCCATTCGGGCTGACAAGGGCCAGCTGTTGATATTCAGGGGGGACAGAAAACAAAGAGAAAAGAATGACTATTCAGCTCAGGTAGGATTTTGACGGGTGGGTTTTTTTCACAAGAAGCGGTGGATCTCGTTGTGTCATCACGTCCGTTATTCACTGCACACGCTTCTTATGTTCAAAAGGAAAAAAAAAATCCGAGAATGGAGATTTGTGAAGTTTCTCCTCACACAAGCAGCTGTCCCTCTTCCCACGAGAGACTTCGTAGTTACTTATTAACGCTGCCATTCTGCTGATGTGGAACAAAAGCCACCATTCTGTCACCCGTTTGATCTATTATCAAAACTAAATTAGATTTCAAGGGATCAGTGTTCTTTCTAGAGCACAGCTGTGATGGAGCTGTGCAACATGTGCATTCTGAGGTATATGGAGGCTGCTCCAAAAGTGTATCAGGCTTCGTTATGATTGTGACAGAGTACAAACATGGCTAAGTGTTTGACAGTTTATGTCAGAGATAAATATGTATGGGGCTTTACACTAACCCGCTTATTACACCAACAGGTTAGAAAAGAGGGACAGCTTCTCTCTTCCTGATTTTCCTGTTTAAGGGACCATTGCGATGTGTAACATGACTCCCACCTGCCACCACATACTGTATCTGTCTTACATTTAAGCGTGGAGGATTACATCAGAACGAAACTCAGCCATCCAGTGGCTTTCAGTTCCTCTGAGCAACTCTGGGTCGATCAGGTGTCCACAGCCAGTGGACAGTCTGACCCCCTGTCTAGGCGCCTTTTTCTGACCGGTGCAAGAGGGCCCCGAGGGGCATAGTTTTTGCAACAAAAAAAACAGACGTTTTTTTAGCTATAACCGCAGGGCCACTGGTCCATGTGTTGGACCAGCATATGGCGCAGTGTGATGATGGGCAACCCTCTCAGGCGTCAGCTGGAGCTAGCGTTAGCCGCGGGCAGGCTAGCTGCTAAACGCAACAAACGTCACTAAACGCACCGTACATATATCCCGGCGAGCGGCGTACACAACGCGGTAGTAGCCGCTGACCGTGGCCGCGGCGTGGGCTGCCACGCACCGTGTAACACACGCATAGTAACACGCCACGGACTCGCTCGTACGTCCATTCATTCATTCATTCAAAAAGCAGCCGAAAAGCGAGCGCTAGCTCGGCGGCGCAGCGGGGCCTAGCCGTACCTTGCTGCAGCAGTCGAGCCCGCGGTCCTCGGGCTCGCCGTTGAGCATGTATCCCTCCTCGAAGCACTCGTCCCCGGCCTCCTCCCCGCAGCCTCCCCGGTCCGGAGCGAATATGCTCGCCGGGACCAGAGCGTCGGCCAGCGGAGCGGAGCCCGGGCTCAAGCCCGGCTCCTGCGCCGCCGCTATCGATGCCATCTCCGCTCAGATACTCAGTTTTCCTGGCGGTGCGGATTGTTGTGATGACGGAGGGCCACTCGACAGCCAGGGGGACACACAGCGAGCTGCGCGGACTGGGGGGAGAGCTGCACTGCGGCTAGCGCCGTCCACAGCCGTCCGAACTTACGTGGACCAACACCGACCGCGCAAAAACAAACAACACGCGCATGGGGAAAAAAAACCCGTTAGTTTTGGCAGTCAAGCCATTTAACATGGCTGTGCACCACGTCATGCATATTGAGCAGAAGGGTGTGAGTGGGGGGTCCGTGTTTTGCTCGCCGTTCACCAATAGTGGACACTCGAGTGAGAATCGGCCAGCAGCGGACCAATGGCAGCCAGGGGGTCGTTCATATTATTACAAGCAGGGCCAGCGTCCACAGCACACCTCCACTGCTGCAACCAGCCCGTAACACTCCCAAACTGCTGCTGATGCAATGGCAGCAGAAAAGCAGGCAAGTGTTCTCTGTAGAATACTAGCTGACTGTAAAAGAACATGTCTGGACATGTCAGTGACCAGGCAGCTGAGGGCAAAGTTCAAAGTGATGAACTTCACAGAGGTGTTAGTTCAGAAATCAAACAAGTTGAGAATAGGAGCCAAATTTGAATTAAACCGGTTATTACAAATTGTGATTAGTTGTAGTCAAACGATTATAACAAGCCATGTGTCTTTTTTTATGTTTGTTTGGTTCAAATGTTGAAAAGTGATCCACTGTCTGATCACATGAGGCTTATTGTGGGTATATAGATTTTGAACGTCTGCAGGTTCAAACTTGGATCCCTCGTGTTTTTAGGAGCAATTGAAATGGCAAAAGCCTGACTGATTACCCCCCCAACTGAAGATCAGCTCAGAATTGCAGAGCAACACAGGTGATACTGTACACGCACAGAATGCAGCTTCTCTGGAGATGTCCCGATCAAAAGCGTCGGAGTCAAGTAAACCTTGATCACAATGAGCTGCTGGATTTTTTTTTTTCTTTATCTTTTCTATGAAGAAAGCATCTTTCAGTGCCTTTGAAAGAGCTCCAGACTTAAGTTTAAACCCAATGTAAGTCGTTTAAAGTTGTTTCAAGTATGTTTAATGGTCAGTCAGTCTAGCCAGTCTGTTTTGAGCTGTTTTTCTATTTTCTTTGACAATCAGATTTGTTCCGAGTATTATGTTTTTCTATAACAGAATCTCAAAACTTAATAAATTCAATTTGAGTAGGATCTTTTTTTTCCTAATTTTTATACTTATAGTAAGGAATACTATCTAGTCAGCACATGATTTTTTTTTTTTTTACAAATCAAAATGGGTTAAGAATAGGCTTTAGTTTCAATAATATGATTTGTACGTGTTTCTACTTTGAAATGTGTGCACCTTACAGTGATGCCTATTCAGGGTCTTGTCAGGCCTTTTTAAAACAAGGTCTTGTGTTAAAGTAAATTAATCTAAGTTTGTTGATACATTTATGTCATTAAATGATAAACATGTAACGGTTACATAAAAAACGACTTTACTGAGGAAGAGCTGCTCCATGTGATTTTAACCTCCTGAGACCCGAGCTTTTATTTGGCATGCATTTTAGCTTTTTTTTAAAGATATATGAGATACATATTTAATTAAATGTTTTTACAATTTTGTTCTGACAGTCCCATTGACTCATTTACAGTTTTTCTATTACACAATAAGAACATGATTGGATGGAAATGTATAAAACCATTTTACTTTAGATTTCAAACAGTGTCTGATAGTATCTGCTATGAGGTCAAGAGGTCAAAGCTGAAAGAAAAAAAGAAGTATCATGGTAAAGAGAGACAAAAATGCAACGTCCTCTTATGAGGACACAGGGTCTCAGGAGGTTAATGAGCTCTGAAATGCTGCAGTTGGTGATGCACTGAGGTCCAAGAATGTGTCTCCTGTCCTCTTTGTGTCTGAGGAAGTGGCGTCAGCTGTGTGTCAGCAGCTGCAATGATCAAATGTCCTCCTCGGCTGACTGTGAGTTAGAAAATCAATTGCTGTAGAATACAATCTCTGTTCTACGTAAATTTAACTGCAGTCAGATTTACCATGTGTCTTACTGTAAGTTAAACTATATACAGTAAGTGAACATTAAGGCAGCTGCCCAGGCTAAATATTTCCTTTTCTCCCTGGCAACAAATGCATTTCTATTTTTGTGAGCCACCCTGGGCACCGTTCCCTCTGACAGACCAATGTAATTCTACCAGAATACACGCTGTATGAAGTAAACAAATGATCTAATTCCAAATGATTCTCGCTCCACTGAGGTTTGCAGTCACTTGTTAACCACTTATTTAGTTATCCATGGACCAGAGCTTCACTTTAGAAAGAGTTGGCTGGTGGTCAGCAGTGGCAGCTGATACTGGCTGTGTGGAATGTCACTCACATTAAAGGAACCTCCCACTCTGTATAAAACCGTGAGTCAGGGTGCAGATTTAAAGGCGAGGCCCTGCAGCATTCTTCTTTTTTCTCTGCTCTTCTTGACTGCTCATTTCTGCAAAGATGATGAAAGTAAGTACCGTATGTTTTTTTTTTTAATGGAACTATTCACTGGCATTGCTTTCACCCCTTTGGGTCTCATGACTTATAGAAACGCGTTTTAAATGTGGAACTGAAAGCTCAGGTTGCTAATGTCGACACAACTGAAGAAGTTGCAATGTGTAGCAAATAATACAGACCATGCTGGAGAACCTTTAACCTGCTTTTTTAGAGCTAAAGCCAAATGTGTTTCCTTGATTACCTTTTATGGTCAAAATATTGAGCAAAGTGCATTCCAGTTCATGAGACCCATTTTGATTTAAATGCAAGTACCCCAAACACCAGAAAATCAGCTGTCGGTGTTGTCACACCTAAAATAGAAATGCATTTTAACAATTGTCCATTTGTTTCCAGGCACACCACATCTCTTTTTCAGGGTCAGTCCATTTAGTCTGGTCCCTTGGAATTCATAAAGTCAGAAGATTACAGGGAAAGCTTTGAGTCACTTCATATTTTTTTAAAACTTTTGCCTCAGGTGGAAATAATCATGGACAAGGATGTGGTGTCCTAAATTTGATAAGGGGATGAAATGAAGTCAAGTAATGATGTAGAGACCAGAATAGAAACTCTCAAGTTTGTCTCGTAGAAAAAAGACAAAAGTGAAAAGCCTACTGTGTGTCATAGTATTTGTATTGCATCGATAAAAACACTATAATTAAGCAGAAGAGGCAGCAAGATGACGGTGACATGATTCATTACTCGTTCATGTATTTTTGACAGCTAAATGTGTAATTCTGACCACGCAGTTTTAAGCTGACGATGAGCCACATCCTGCCATTATGTCAGGAAATACTGTAAGATCTAAAGGACGTATGATGACTGTAACAGTGCAGTGTGCAGATGCCAGAGAAACTCAGGGTGAGTGTCACCTCTGCCCTCAGCCCAGCCCCACACAGTTCAAGCCCCCGTGATACATGCTAAACATGCACTTTCCAGATGGACTCTAAGATGGAAAGAATGACACACCTAAGTATTTAAACCCATTCTTAGCCTCCTTCTTTTTAGATAGGTTTTTCTTCTGTAGAATAATCTTTTTTTTTAATGTCAATTTAGCTTTTTTGGACCGGTTTTATCATCTGAACTTATGGAGTCTGCAGTTAGTGCATTTAAATATAAAATCTGGAACCTTTCCCCACAGCTGCATCATGTGAAGCTCCTAAAAGTTTGGAGCTGTGAATGATTGAGAAAAACAGATTGAGATTCTTTTTAATTTAATCTGATCTCTTTACAATCATATTTTCTTTCCATAAATTATAACTTCATTCACAATCTTTAACTATAATGCTAACTCTTAAAAGTATATTTTTTATTAGACATTATCTGACATTTTGTCCTCCAACAGTTTTTTTGGTGACACTTCACATTCGCCCATAATTGCATATTTCTGGAGCACTTTGCAGGTCAGTGGTTGAGAAAATGAGTGGCTGCTGTAGGATACTGCTGTAGGATAAGTTTCTCAAGCCACGTCTCCCCTCCACATGTACAGTTGAAGAATTGAATATTTCTGCTGTTGTCCATTTGTTTCTTCACTATGGTTACCATCTGGCTGAGCACAGAGGAAAATACCTCCCAAATTAAACATTGACCCTGAAGACTTTTTAACATTTTCAGCACCAACATCCATTTGGCAGCAACAGGAAAGTAAGGAGCTGAAATCACTGTTTAGCTGGTCAATGGGAATCTAACTAAAAACATCTGTTCTGCCATTTGACAGCATTGAGGAGGTGCTGGCACATTAGTCAGGGTTCAGATCAAGAGAGTGTTCTGCCTCAAGCTGTACGGATATTTAGATTTAAAATAATTCTGTTTCATTAATTCACAAGATTGATCTGTGCCCCTCCCCCTGGTTTTTCACAGGGTATGGTCGTAAAGAACATGTCCTTCAAAGTTGGACAAACCCTCACTGTTGTTGGGGTAGCTAAGCCCGATGCTACAAAGTAAGTCTGTGTACTTGTATTAAAAAAATTGTAATCTATAAACGGTCTTGTGATGTGGTGAAAAAAGGTTGCCAGTTAGACATGTGACTGTTATTGCCTGAAATCATAAGACTGATGACATGTTTCAAGGTTTAATTTCGTCATCAAAATTAGGACAAAGAGGTTTCTTTCCAGTCTATTCTCCCTTTAATTACATCAGTGAAGATCACTAATGCATTACAAGTTCAAGTTCTGTTTCATTCTATTAATTTGATCATTCATAATTCCGAAATAGAGAAAGGTTATGTTGAGCGAATTACTTCTTTTCAACTTTAACTAAGCCGAGGCTGATAAAGATCATCTTTAGCAGCAGCAAATGCCGTTATTGATGCTGTCTCTGTGTTCTGTTGACTTGAATGTAAAGAATGAATAAAAACCCAACAAATCTTTGGCTGCTCCAGCTTTGCTGTGAATATTGGCCCCGACGAGCAGGACATCGTATTCCATATCAACCCTCGTTTCAATGCCCACGGAGATGAGAACGCCGTTGTGTGTAACTCATATGAGGGAGGCAGCTGGTGTGAGGAGCACCGAGAAGGAGGCTTCCCTTTCCAACAAGGAGAGGAGTTCAAGGTGGGGATGCATGCATACTCTTAGTGTGCATCATTTTACCTTATACTGCCCCATGCCTCCTCCTCTTGGTTGCTGACTTCGTTTAGATAATGTGTGTCAATAGCAAAACTTTAACAGTACACAAAATGTTTGGTGTTCAGTTGTTGTAATGTTTTTATCTTTTTTTTTGTTAGAAAAAGACTTGATGCGGTTTAAACGATTGCAAACAATTTTTGGACAAGCATCTGACTTGGAAAGATTAGATTGACATGACTCGCCAGCTGTTTTCAATCTGAGCTATTAAACAATAAACTCAGGTGACTGAATAACATCAGATGCCTCATGGTATCATGTCAAGGCTATCAATCAATTAGAGCCCTCACAGTTTGCTTGTAACCAAGGAAACCAGCAAAATTACATCCATGAGCACCGTAACAGCCTAACCCTACTTTTTTGTGCCTAAAACCAATCAGAAGGTTACAAAATATTTCAGAAAGAAGTTGTATTATTATTTGCAAAACAACTACACAGACTGGTTATAAAAATGCCACAATCTCCACCTCTCCAATCTGCTGTGATGTGCAAAGTTTCAATTTGTAGAGGGACCTGTATGGTTCATCAGTTGATGGCTGATAAGTTGTCTTGATATTTTTGGCTTATTCAGATCGTCATTGACTTCACACCTGGTGAGTTTGTGGCGACTTTATCCGACGGCTCTACAATCACCTTCCCCAACCGCCTGGGAGCAGAGAAGTACTCGGTCATCAGCTTTGATGGGGAGGCTCGCATCAAAAGCGTTGAGGTCAAATAGACATCTGCACAGCCTCCAGTGAACGCGTGGATGGAAGAAGAAAAAAAAGTTCCTTTATCATTTTCACATTTATTCGTTTGTCTGGCAACAGATAACATATTGTCAAACGTTTTCATATTTCTGAATCTTTATGGTGCCAATGTTTAACACTTCATGCTGCACATTTTCTGGAAGCAAATTCAGGCAACCGACACTCACAAAGGCAAATGTATACAGCATTGTGACCTAAAGACTTTCCTGTGCTCTTGTCAGAACTACTAATAGAAAAATAAACCAAACATGGAGTTGTTTTACAATGTTATAATTTAGCTGTTTCTGGTCTTGTTGAAAAACAAAAGAAACGAATCACCAAAAGTGGGTTTGCAGTGCTTCATTATTTGTCTCTTGACATTCCAACGTTGTAACAGAGAGTGATGCTTACTAGTGACAGCCTCCATCCAATAACAGCTTTGGCCTCCCTTTTAACCTGCAATTAAAAAATCGTTTTCTGACCCAGAGACTTCTGTGTTGTATAATTTCAATTCACTTCTTTAGTGGAAGGGCATTCCTTTTGAGTTCTTCTAACACATGGAGAAGACTGAATCTCCACATGACAGTTTTTCTTCGCTGCTTCTCTGTCGACGTGTACACAAATATTATGCAAATCTATATTCTATAACTTTTTCTTTGACAAATCAGTCAAACAAGTTACAAGTTATTTAAATAAACAGACAATAGGGGTTGGATCTCCAATTAGCCATGTTATCCAGTAGGTGTCAGCTTTGCCTTACTTTTGGACCTCCTCTAGTTAAAAAATTCTGCGGAAGTTTAATTTAAGTGCTGGTGATGACGACAAGGGTGCAGCTCTACATGCTCTCTTCTCAGACATAAATGGAGGTGAACATTATAGGTTTCACTTTGTGCTTTCAGAGTATCCTGTATTTTCATATAGAAAAAGACATGATTCTGAAACAAATCATAATTGGGCAATCGACATTCACTGGCCTCATACTTGTGGGTATTAATTCTCATGCTTGCCGCTTTACACCGTAAAAGAAGTGTGCTGGAGGCATCAGTTTAATAACGGCAAAGACACAATCTAAATTCTTTTTCAGGGCTTCCGCTCCAGTGCTCCACAGTTGTGATGACTCTGAGCTCTGACGGTCTCCTGGACTCTTCTCTCAGACATTGCTGCAAAGTCTACAAAAAAGTCTACAAAAGAACCCAAAATGAAAACTCATGCTGCTTAGTCTGTTGGTACCATTCAGCTACATTTGAGTTCCATTAAATTGTTTTGGGCAAAATGATGCCCTCTCCTGTTGTATCCATGCATGTTTTTGAGTGTCCTATGGAGGGAACATACTGATGGAAAATTCCATTACAGGTGGTGAGTTGCTATTGGTGGAATAGGAACCAACAAAAAAGCCCTTTGGGCTCCTTTCGACTGGTTTATCTCTGCAGAAAGAAGGTAAGCTGAGATGTGTCTGTGTGAATATGTCATGAAAAGCAAACATTTTAATGATTTTGATAACTTTGAGTTTTTTAACATTCAGGCGTGGCGCCTTATCCGAAAAACCATCACAAACAAATGTCATTCTGAATCCAGCGTCCCCACACAAACATTTCTTTTGATAAGTTCATGCCCTTTATGAACAATTGCTGATGTTACTTTTTGCAGAGACAAATATTTCTTTGTGCTTTAGAGGAAATAGACAAAAAAGTCCCTCCATTCTGGAATATTTAGCCATTACAGCATGTTGCTACCCTACTCCTTGATATTGAATTGATTGCATCTGTTTAATCAGTTTGAGTTTAAAAAAAGTAGTCCACCAGTTTTCTTTTTACCCAAATGCAAAAATTTACCAGACTGTTGGGATGATTTTTGGGAAAGTTTTTTAATCCAAGTTAACATGTTAAACATGTTGAGTAACAATTGAGTCCAGTTACACCCACGGTTAAGATTACCATGAACTTGATGATTGAGAATCTAAGGCTGCATTGACATAGGAGCTACTTGGGAAAACTAAAAAAAACTATGCATGCATATATCTTATATCTCTATTAGTGACCGCTGGGTTTCTGGATTAGTCTTTCTTTGTGCCTGTTCAGTGTCTGTTCTGTGCTTTCGTTCTGTTCCTGTTTGTCTTCTGTTGTGTTTTAGTCTTTGTTTTTTTTCTGCGTGTAATCTGGTTTAGTCTTTGGTCCTGAGTGTTTGTTGTATTCTGGATTCTTAGCTGGGTAGAGCTAAGAATCCAGAATACAACAAACACATCATCAGTTGTGTTGGTCTTGTCACACATTCGCACCTGTCTCCTTGCTATCAGTCAACTTAAAAACCCTCTCTATCTACCGCTCTCTGGCCACTTCAGTCCCGGGCCGGATCTTTGTTTTTTGATAAATCCTTTAATAAAGCTTTGTATCCTCAAAGTTGTTTAGTATTACAATTGTAAAGATATTGTAGAGATTTCAGTCAAACTGAGGTCTGGGATTGGAACAAGCCGATCAGACTCCTGGACTTTTTAGAAAAGATTGATACACAGTGTGGTTATATGCTGCGTAAATCAAACAAAGGTGGAAATGACTAATTTCAATTTCTGTTCATCTGCAAACATTGCTGGATGGCTCATTTATATATTTCAACACAATGGGCAGAAAAAATGTCCTTATCCTGTTAGCGATAAGTTCCACAATGTCTAATCAAACAAGTAGAAAAAATTAAACAAATGCAGCAATTATCCATCTTATCCAGTAAGTGTCATCAATGTTTAATCCTGAGAAAGCTTAGTGTGAAATATTGAGTGCAAAAAGACAACAACAATGATGCTTTTAGAATATCTTAAGTTACACATATTATTACGTGTATTGTTAAGTATTATACTAATATACTAATAATATAATACTGATAAGTATTATTAACATTATAAAACTTAAACTACTAATGATATACATTGATAATAATGATTATATAAATAATACTATTATTAGAATTATTATTATTGTTGTCATTATTATTGTTATCATCATCATCATATAAAGTGGGAGAGAGATACAAATGCAATCCTAACAATATAGTAATCATGCAGGATAGATATTATGATTCTCCGGTATGAGTAACTTAATCTGATGTAACATAGGTGAAATTTTTACGAATCTGAATTCTAAAGAGATGGATGGAAAAGAGGAAGTTAAGAACAGTTATTCCACAAGACAAGTTCTCCGTCCTCTGATCCTTAAGATAAAGGCTGCTTTTTTAGCCTCTCCTTTTTTTTCATTGCCATTTAGCAGCTGTATGAATGTGCTGCATGCGTATGAGCGTGTTTGTGTCTGAGCGAGCTGATCAGTGATCTGAAGCTACCTGTCAGTGTCAAAGGATATCTCTCCATATATGTGGCTGCCATTATAGCCACAGATCACATCCTCTCCTTCTTCTCTCACTGACCTCTCTCTACCTCTCTTGATCCTCCATCCCCTCTTTCTTTGTGTGCCCTGTTGCTTCATTTTCCCCTTTCCATCATTTAATGATTCCTCACTCTGCGCTGAATTGTCTCTCTGCACTCCCCCACTCTCCAAGGCTCAAACTCGTCCTTCCTCCCACATACTTAATTGGAAATATCTCATTTTAACACTTCCTTTCTTTTGTTAGTTTGTGGCAGACTCGATCAATAAACAGGGCTATCTTTGCTCTGCATCCACTGGGATAATTTTAGCCTGACTTGAGGCTGTCTTCCAGCCCTGTTCCTTTTTTTAAAGCACACACATTGATGAGGGGTCCAGCTCATAGTAGATGATATCATTGTGGGCTCCACTGACCAATATGTTCAAAAAGAGATGAGAAGAGCACATCTGGGCGCTTTGTAGTTGGTGCATAAATGCCAGACGCGCTGTGTGTTGTGTGACGTTTGCTAGAAGGACAAGGATTCAGCCCATCAGCACACATGCAATCAATCATGTTTCAGTCTGGATTGCCACGCTGAAAATATCTTGCTCAGTTAGCCCTGGAGGAGCTCAACTACATGCAAGTCGACAAATATAAACACGAACTGATGGAGAAGATTTCAGACAGCAGTCAGCGACCATATGCCGCATTGTCTGTTCTGCAAATCCATTTATCTTATTAGTGTTGAAGTTTTTTTTTTACCAAATCCCCTTTTTATTTATTTATATGACTTCACCTGTGCTATGTCATTTATTGGGCATGTGTGAGTAAATGCGCTGAAATGTGTGGAATGGAATGATTCACCTCAGCTTACATAAAACCTCTGTCTATATTTAGCGCCAGCATGACTCCAGATTTCTGCACCAAAGCTATCAGCCACACATTGAGATGTGCGTGGGTCTGCCACGAGCTGACTGCAGTGCTGGATTCACGTTCTGCCCAAATGACGAATCTGAGTTTAACTGATGCATGAATGTTTACATTGTGTTGCATATGCAGTGGCGGTTGGCAAATTACACTATGATTCTGGGAAAAGGTTCAAGATGCGGAAATGGCAGGGCAGTTTTCAAAAAGGTCTTTGAAAATTTGTCTTCCTGGGACTGAGTGATTGCATTCACTGTGTGTTTGGGATCGTCGTTCTTTTAGTAGTATTTAGTTGAATTGATTGTAATTCTTCTTCTGTTTTTTTTCCCCTTATCGTTCCATTAATTTTAGCAGAATTTTGCTCTCCCATTTCCCGAGAAATAGCCTAATCACAGGATTCGGTCTACCAGCACCATGCAGCCATTGGATGGATTCTCAGAGAAACACAAAATAATCTTTAAAAGTGAGGGAAAAAAAACATTGCTAATTATTTTGACTAATTAATCATTTTTTTCTCCACCACTGTAAACATACAAGAAAGCACGTTGTTAACAAGTATCTGTTATGTAAATCTGACAGTGTGCTACTTCATTTATATTGCACACCGCTTCACACAACAATCAATTTTAACAGGTGGAGGCCCCAGGGGAATTTTCTGTTTTGTCCCGAGTAAACGGGAGAGTGACCATGACAGAGGATGCTGTCATTGACCTGCCCTATAGTGACTGTGTGTTACTGCTTGCCTGTGTGTGTGTGTGTGTGTGTGTATGTGTGTGATTGTGCAGATATGTGCATGCATGCCAGCACTGGTGGCCTTTTGCAAACGGCAAGCCCCTTCAGACATAAAGTATGGATCTTTAAATGCACTGCCAGGTCATACATGACAACCCGGCTTCATGTCAAATCCGCTGTCAGAGAAAAGAGCTGGGAGGAATGGGCAAAACGTCTCCTTTTCACGTGTGTTTCTGAGCAAAATAAAGCAGCGTTCAATCAGGCTCCCCGAGAGCCTGTAGAGCATATGCTCACGTAAACGGCAAGTTTTGATGTCTGTGTTTGGGAGTGAATATGTTAATCGTTCCAAACCTCCGAACAGGTTTAAGATGCAACTCGCACTTGCGTTGTGTCAAAGTCACTCCTGCTGTTTGCTTGAGTTGTCTCTGGGGTTGGAATGAGATTCATCGTCAAAGCATTGCCAAAACTCATGGACCAGGCACTATT